GTGTCACTGGCCCTCATATGTGGGATCCGAACCGGGGCCCTCTGGCATCCCAAGCGAGTTCTTAACCATCGCGCCACTCGGCCGGCCCCCCATTAAAGTTTGAGAAGCACTGGTCTAAGAAACAGTGACCAATTTGTGTTCTTACTGGACTTTAGTGGCAACTTTCAGAGCATTCAGGTAAGAGGAAAGGAGCACAGCTAGAGTTAATAAGGAGCGCTGTGATACCGCATCTCATATACCTCTGCTGGAGGAGCTTATATGGGGTCTGTCACGTGGGTGGGGCATTGACTCAGAGAAACACTGGTAGTAGAGTGGATGTGGTAGAAATACGAGCAGCTACTGTTTATCAAATAGTGCTTTGTGCTTTATAGGGATAATTACATGTAATCTCTGTAGAAAACCAAAGAGAGACCATCCATCCATCCATCCATCCATCCATCCATCCATCTATCCATCCATCCATCCATTCAGCAATAATGTATTATATAAGCATGTATGCCAGGCACGGTTCTAAGCATGTATCTTTGTACTCTAGGGATAGAGCTGCTGCCGCCATTATGAAGCCTAAGTCCAGATCAAACAACAAACAGTACTAAATAAACTGACGTATAATAAAATCATAGGTAAATGGAAGTGCTGTGGAGAAAGTAAAGCAGGATAAGGGAAGGAGATACGTGTGACAAGGGAGTGGTGTTTGAGATAGGGTAGCAAACCTCTTTGAGCAGGTGACACTTGAGCCAAGATATGGATGAAGCAAAGGCATGAGCCACACAGCTTTGGGGGGAAGAACATCAAGGAGGACACAGGGAGAGGGGAGGACAGTGGTTAGAGATAAGTTTTGAGGATAGCTACAGGCCAGGTCATAAACTGTCTCATAAGCCATGGTGGACCTTTACACACAAGGAAACTGAGCAGGGCTCCCCAAATTTTAAGGGCCCACGAATTGCCTGGGGCCTAACAAAACTAGTGTGGTCATTGAGTCTGGGGTGAGACCTGAGTCTCTGTGTTTGAAACGAGCTCCCAGGAGATGCTTATGCTTCTGGTCTGTGGGCCACAGTTAGAGTAAGCAGAAGGGTTGTGTGGGTGAGAACTTACGCAACACGCCCGGTGTCACAGAGCTGGTAAGTCTCAGAGGCAAGATTTGCATCTCAGATGCCTGACTCGAAGTCCCTGTTGTCCATCAGTTTTCCCCGAGGTCACCCCTGCCTGATTCACCTGTACCTGCCTATGTACAGGAAATTGAAAAGGCCTGCCCGAGCAAGGTCCCTGTGTGCCGTCTGTTTATAGAAGAGCTGTTGATCCCTTCTTATTTTGAGGGAGAAATAACAAGGGCAATTGAATGCTTGGATAACCACTGATACTTTGTGCTATCTCTTGTGAAGTATTTAAAAGATGTACAAGATCCCTGGCATCACAGAGACAAATGGTATGGTTGGTGACCATCTTGGTGTAACATGTAAATAAAAAACACCAAAATACCCATGAGCCTTAAAGTCTCATGCCTTATTTTGCAGTTACTGACCCGAGGAAGCCAGCTATTTGCCGGGCCCTGCAGTCATGTGCCACCTGGCCCGACCTCCCCAGAAGCCCCTGCTCTGGCCCATTTGCACACTTGGCATTTGGTTCTTTTCACTGCATGGGAGACGCATGGCACTCCCAGCTGTGGGTGGGCTCTGGGGTGTCAGAGAAACATGAAGCCTGTTGTATGTTCAAATCAATCAGGCTTCATTAAAAAACAAAACAAAAAACAGAAAAGGATGAGGGAGTGTGGAGTGGAATATTTAGCTCTGGGCCTCCTTCCGTGGAACCAACCATAACTTCCAGTATCACAGAGATGTTCAAAGGAAAAGATGGCGCCTGGCTTTCCTTGTCACTGGATATTCACAGGGTCTTCCTTGCACCTGGTGGGGCGGGGGGCGTGGAATGGGGGGATGAAGAAGTGGGAGATGTTCTGTGTATGTATTGTATATGCCATTGCCTTGATGAATGACACGGTTTGGTTTGTTTTCCTCCCCTTTTGTTAATTATCTGTGTTCTTTTTCCTTTGTGCTGCACAATTAGGACCCTGCAGTGGGACACAGACCTCTCAGTGCTCCAGCTGCAGTCAGACTCAGAACTTGGGTATATGTCTGCTCTTTTGTTACTCCTTTTATTATTTCGTTGCTCTTGTTGTTTCCCCCTTTTGTTGAACTTCCAGTTTGATAAGTTTATTTCCTTCTGTTAGTTTTCCTTATAAAGTTGAGCTCTCAAGAAAGTCTCTCTTTGTGGAAAACACCACAAAAAGATGGCTTTCGGTCTCTCCTTCTTAATTCCTATGATGGCAATACAACACTCTCCCCAAACAAAACTACAAACTCGTGCCCACACCCGTGCTTCAAGGTGGGTCACACAGGTTCTGTGAGGGAAGATACGATTGGCTTTATCCTAACCATCTGCCCCTTTTACTAAGTTGCCTTAGGTTACTTTTTGTCTAAAATCAGTATTAAAATGTGTGTCTTGTTGGTTCCTTTCCTTTTTACTTTTTCGGGGACTCTCAATTTGAATTGAGTTTGAACATATAAATATTTTTGTTAAAGAAAAAGCAAATTTATTGACTTCCTCAGTGTTAAGAAATCTCAAATACGTGGTGGTGGGTAATGTCTCCTGCGTCCTAAAGACCGTGTTTTTATTTTTTTTCCACATAGAAATGTATTGACACAGTTAAAAGATAGCTTCAGAACTGAAAATGTCATATATATGTACAATGGAATATTATTCAGCCATAAAAAGAATGAAATCCTGCCATTTGTGACGACATAGATGGACCTAGAGGGTATCATGCTAAGTGACATAAGTCAGACAAAAAAAGATTACTGTAGAATTTAAAAATCAAAAAACAAAACAAAACAACAAAACAAAACCAAGTTCATGGGTATAGAGAACACCTTGGTGGTTGTCTGAGGTGGGAGGTTGGGGATGGTCAAAATGAGGATCTAAAGGTACAAATTTCCAGTTGTAAATTGAATAAGTCACAGGGACATAACGTACAGCATGACTATAATTAGTAATACTGTATTGCATATTGAAAGTAGCTAGGAGAGTGGATCTTGAAAGTTCTCATCACAAGAAAAATTGTAACTCCATAGTGATGGATGTTAACGGGGCTTATTGTGGTATCATTTTGCAATATATACAAATACTGAATCATTATATTGCATACCTGAAACTAATATGTTAGGTCAATTGTACCTCAATGAAAAGCTTCATTCACAAAGAATCGAACTCGTAGGCTCATTCTAGAAACTTGATTAATTTCTCTTATAGGATTGGAGTCAGCTGTGGTCACACATGGGATATTTCCAGTAGGGTGCTTGTACCAACTTGTGGTCAAGCTAAGGAGAGCTGACTGTATGCCTCTCTTCCTCAGTTTGCATTCAGTGAAATCAGATTAAAATCTGCCACGGTGAGAGTATTTACAACATAAAAAATTGGCAAATGCTGCAAACCAGGGCTTGCTGTCTTTCCCCAAGCTGGTTATTAAACACTTACCACCATGCTACTGGGTACTATAATATGTGAATAGCAAAACTTATGAACCTATTGGGTTGTCGGCAAAGTCATGACGCATATTTACAAGTAAAACCAGAAAAAATACGTCATGACTTTTCTGACAACTTAATATTTTATGAAACTATTAAAAGTTTTGTATGAAACTATTATTATTTTTTCTAAATATCCCCAAATGGGCATGTATGTATGTATGTATGTATGTATGCATGCATGCATGCATGTATGTATGTATGTAATTAGAATTCCTGGCATGTATCTCTGGGTTTATATCAATGTCAGTGCCTGCTGTAGGTGTACCAGGGGGTGGAAGGGCTCTTTGCGTGTTAGCGTCAATGCTATCTGCCGATGTCCCTTTGCATATGCAAAAGTTCTTGGCAGACTCGCTATAATGCTAACCTAAGGAAATATCTTAACACTTCAGGTAACTGACAACACTATTTCTTTTAAACATTACTAAATTCTTCGCTATTTAGTTATGTAATTCATTGTATGCTATATTTCAATCTGTATTACTTAAATAACCAAGAAATATGGCTTGAATCAAGCAGGGAAACAATGCATATATACAGTATGTTATGGTTCAGGGGAATTTCAGAGCGCAGTTCCTCAATATGTCCTTGTGCTTAAAAAAATGAAGATGAAACTGGCAGAGGCTGTACCTGATGCACATACATTAATAGATTTTTAGACAGATTGCAGCATTGCTATATTACACTTGCTGATGTGGAACAATTAGGAATTTCCCCATTTCTATCTGTTTTCCAAGCAAAAACTCAGTTGTCTATACAGATGAAAACTTGTGACTCATTCGAGGGAGATGGCACATGTGGCTCCCACCTGGCCTGCCATATTTTACTTTGGAGTGGACCCAGTGAGTCAGAAAGACTGACGAGATGTGAGAGTTTTTCTTCACTGGGTAGTTTACCTTAGAGAGTTTGGAAGAAACACTCAGAGAATATTTGAGAGAGGAGATTACTTTAGCCATATGACAGTTGCAAATACTGATTTAATGAAAAATTTCCCCTTTTTAATAGTCATCTGTGCAGAGCACTGTTTCATATATAATTTTATGAAATATACCTCAAGCAACAAAATTTTTCTAGAGACAATTTTATTTCCTCCTTTTGACCTTTGCCATGGGATTGGCCATAGCCCATAGCTTGCTCTGTCACTTGGTTTTTATAAAACAGCTTTATTGAAATATAATTGACATAAAAAAACCCAAAACTGTGCATGCTGAAAGTGCTCAAATTGATGTTTTAACATGTATACACAACCATGAAACCATCACCACTATTCAAGATAATGAATGCATTCATTATCCCCAGAAGTTTCCGTGCCCCTTTATAATCCTCACTCCTGCCTCTCCCTATCCCCCCAAACAACTGATCTGCTTTGTGTCATCATACATTAGTTTACATTTCCTAAAATGTCATAGAAATGCAATCATGCAGTGCCTATTCGCCGACTGACTTCTTTCAATCGGAATAATTTTCAAGATTCATTGTGTATCAATAAATAGGTCATTCCTTTTTTATTTCTGAGTGGTATTCCCATGGATAGATACACCACAGTTTATCAAAGTCTCTTTTTGATGTACGTTTGGGTTGTTTCCAGGTTTTGCCCATTACAAATAAAACTGAAAGGAACATTCATGTACGAATCTTTTTATGGTCATATGCTTTCATTTCTTTTGGGGAAATACCACCAAGAAGAATGGCTGAATCTATAGTAGATGTACATTTAATTGAAGATCCTGTCAAACTATTTCAAAGTGGTGTTACCATTTTATGTTTTCACTAGCCGTGTATGAGAGCCTCAATTCTTCCACATTATTGACAATACTTAGTTCTGACATTTAAGACAGATTATTATTATTATTATTATTATTTTTTACCGTTATTAAAGGAGGATAGTGGTTTTCCTCATTATGGTTTTAATTTTCATTTCCCTAGTGGCTAATGATGTTGAATGTTTCCTTATGTGCTTATTTGCCATTTGAATATCTTCTCTGATGCTTAAATCTTTCTTTGGCCCTTATTTTTTATTGGGTTGTTTGTTTTATCATTATTGTTAGAGTTTCTGAGAGTTCTTTATATATTTGGGATACAATCCTTTGTCTGCTTTATAATTTATAGATATTTTCTCCCAGCCTGTGACTTATCTTTTTCATTCTCTTAACAGTATCTTTAAGACACATTTTACTTTTGACAAATTCCAATTTACAAATTTGTTCTTTAATGAGTCATGCTTTTGTTGACATAATTTCAATTTTCAATGATTCTTTAAATATTTGGTAGGATACAATTTACCTGATGAATTTGGGTTTGGAATTTTATTGTGAGGAAGATTTAAAAATACGAATTCAGTAACTTTATTAGTAATGGAGCTATTGTGGTTATCTATATTTTTCTTAGTGAGCTTTGGTAATTTGTGTATTTCAATTAATATGTCCATTTCATATACATTGACAAATTTATTGGCCTAAAATCATGTATATAATCCCTATCATCTTTTAACTATCTGCAGAATCTTTAAATCACCTATCTTATTCCTGATACTGGTAAATTTTGTCTTCTGTCTTTTTCTTGCTGTAAGTATAGCCAGAGGTTTGTCAATTTTATTGCTCTTCTCAAAAACCAGCATTTAAAAATTTTTTCTCTATTGTTCTATTTCATTGATTTTTTACTCTGATCTTAATTAAATTAGCTCTTTTCTTCTGCTTACTTTGTGTTTAATTTGCTTTGCTTTTCCTAGTTTCTTAAAATACAAGCAGAGCTTATTGATTTGAGACCTTTCTTCATTTCTAATATATATGTGTAGTACTATAAAATTCCTCTTAAGTACTGCTTAGTGGCTTAGTACTTGAAAACTTTAATATTTTTTCATTTTCATTCATTTCAAAATACTTTCTAATTTCCCTTTTTATTTTAACTGATGTGTTATTTGGAAGTGTGTTATTTAGTTTCCAAATATTTGGAGATTTTTCAGAGATATTTTTATTATTGATTTCTAATTTAGTTCTATTGTGGTTAGAGAATGTACTTCGTATTATTTGTATCCTGTTAAATTTGTTGAGGCTTATTTTATGGTCCATAGTACGATCTGTCTTAGTGAATGTCCTGTGTGCCCTTGAAAAGGATGTATATTTTGCTGTTGTTGGGTGAAATGTTCTACAAATGTCTGTTAGGTCAAGATGGTTTATTATGTTGTTCAAATATTCCATATTCTTGATTGATTTTCTCTCTTTCAGTTTTATCAGTGATTGGGAGAAAGATATTAAAGTTTTAAATGTAATTTTGATTTTTCTACTTATTTTTGCAATCCTGTCAGTTTTTGTTTCATATGTTTTAAAATTTTGTTATTAGCTACATAAATGTTTACTATTCTTATGTCTCTCTTGATGAATTGATTCCTTTATAATTATGAAGTGACCTTCTTTATCCTTGGTACTATATTTTGCTCTGAGAGCACCTTTATCTGATGTGAACATAGCCACTTTAGCTTTCTTTTCATTGGTGTTAGCAAAATATATCTTTTTTCCATCTTTTTACTTTGAACCTGTTTGTCTC